ACCTTCCTCTTTCTTTCTCATCTAATTGGAGGTTTTAGGCTAAGTAATCAAGATTATAAATCTATCTGTGACTGAATTTCTTTCAAATGTCTAGAATATCTTGTTTTGCTTGACTTGGTTTGGCACAACCACAGGTGACCCCACAAATGATTAAGATACAGTCACTAGAAACAAGGTAATGAGCTATTTCTTCAGCAACTGCAGAAATGATTGAATGTAATTAGATATTTAGAGAGTGTTTTGAGCTTTTATTGAGTTCTCAGATGCTTTCTTCATACAGTTGTACAAATATTTAATGGCATTTTCCTCTTCTCTGAATTTTAATCTTTTTATTTCAAAAGCTTGAGTGATTTTTGAACATCACATTCCACCTCTGCATAGATAAGAGCTGCTTCACCAAGTTTTGTGAAATGATATTATTCAACGTTTCTTTCAGTTTGTAGAATGCTGGGACAAAGCAGTTAAAAGTAGCTAAGATAGCCGCCGCCGCCGCGCCGCGACTTGAGGGCGGGAGGCTGGGGGAGGGTAGTGGAGCGGTGCATCTGCCATGTTGGGTCTTAAGCGGCTGCTGTAAGCGCCGACGGAGCGAGCGGGCTTACAGAGCGGTGGCAGCGGTGTGGGATCTGCCTCTCTGGGAGCAGCCCAGAGCTGCGGCGTCTGCGGCATCATGAGCGGGGGCACCCCTTATATCGACAGCAAGATCAGCCTTATTTCCAAGGCAGAGATCCGCTACGAGGGCATCCTTTACACCATCAACACAGAGAACTCCACCGTAGCCCTAGCGAAAGTTTGCTCCTTTGGTACAGAAGACAGACCAACAGATCGTCCAATACCGCCTCGAGATGAAGTGTTTAAATACATTATATTCTGTGGGAGTGATATTAAGGACCTCACTGTTTGTGAGCCACCAAAACCACAATGTTCTTTGCCTCAGGACCCAGCTATTGTTCAGTCTTCACTAGGCTCATCTACTTCTTCATTCCAGTCAGTGGGTTCCTATGGACCTTTTGGCAGGATGCCAGCGTACAGTCAGTTCAGCCCAAGTTCATTAGTCAGCCAGCAATTTGGTGCTGTTGGTGTTGCTGGAAGCTCCTTGACATCCTTTGGAACAGAAACATCAAACAGCAGTACCCTATCCCAAAGTAGTGCAGTTGGTTCTGCCTTTACACAGGATACAAGATCTCTAAAAACACAGTTATCTCAAGATTGTTCAAGCCCTCAGTTAGACCCTTTGAGAAAAAGCCCCACCATGGAACAAGCAGTACAGACCGCCTCAGCCCACTTACCTGCTCCAGCACCTGTTGGGAGAAGGAGCCCAGTGTTAACCAGGCCTTTACCATCTACCAGTCAAAAAGGAATAGAGAATCAAGAGCACAGGTGAGCTGAAGTACACAAAGTTACAAGACCAGAAAATGAGCAACTCAGAAATGATAGCAAGAGACAAATAGTTCCATGTGCTCCTTCAGCTCCAAGAAGAGGGCGTAGAGGTCATCGAGGTGGCAGGGGAAGATTTGGTATTCGACGAGATGGTCCAATGAAATTTGAGAAAGACTTTGACTTTGAAAGTGCAAGTGCACAATTTAACAAGGAGGAAATCGACAGAGATTTTCATAATAAACTAAAATTGAAAGAAGATAAACTTGAGAGACAGGAGAAGCCTGTAAATGGTGAAGATAAAGGAGACTCAGGAGTTGATACCCAA